AATGCCTTTTGGAACCTTTAACGTCACTGTTAAGAAAATGCGTGCTTTCAGAGCTCTGAATAAAAAGGCAAGTCAGAATTTTAAATCATAACCTTGTTTCACTTCATGAAAACTGGGCATTTGAAATTTAAAACCATGAATAATATATTAATCTTTCTTAATCTTAGGTGTCTATATTTTTCTATTTGTTCCATTATCCATTATAATCAACTAAAAATGCTGGTTTCTGGTAACCCTACCTGACTGCTGATGCTTGCTGACCTAATAGCCTTACTCTTCTGTTACTTCATTGTCCCCCCAAAATGAAAGCTTATCTTTATTAACACATTAAACTTAACATTACAATATCATTATAAGCAAATGGCAGTAACAAAAACATTCTTCTCTAATGCCAGCTGGGCAACCTTAAATTTAGCTTCTCCCCCTATCTCATTTTCTCTGCAAAAAAATTAAAATATTAATAAAATCAGAATTAATACCATACTAGCATATGACTTCAAAAAAAAAGTATACTGTTCCTATTAATGCTCATTGTCACTGATGCTCTAAAGGGCATAAAGAAGTCTGGTCAAATACTAACTAGCTGCTAAAAGCATGGCATCATGCAGGCAGTTTGCAAGGCAATGTTGCACAGCCAACAAAGAGGTACAGGTAGGAAATAATAAATTTCATCTACATGGAGCCACTGAAAATTAAAAATCTGAAGTTACCGCACCTTCAAACTTGAAGTTCAGACACTTAAAGAACTAAGTAACCATGCAGTAGAAATGATGGCTGATGGAGTCACTGGTGCAAAAGGAAAAAAAGGGCATCACTTAAAGTTTTACAATGAATTAAATGTGCAGATCGGTAAGGAAATGGAGGAATAAAATTTTCATGGTTTGTGAAACACAGTAAGGAAAATACTTGGGCACAAAAATCAACATTAGGCTGAGGTGTTACAGAGTCACTGTTTAAAACAGAAGATTGCCTTCATTAAGGTTTTGGCTTCCCTGAGTAGAACACAACGCTAAGTTTATAGCATAAGTCACAGTGGGGAGGATTATCATTACTTGAAAGCATATTAATTTTTAGGCATATTCCTTATAGCTAACAGTGAATTAGAAACTTTTAACGGATGCAGTCTGGATTTGCCGACATTTTGGAAGCAAAACGTTTCAGGCTTGTTTCACAGCTCACGCTGCTGGCACCGCAGCACCCGCGCTCCGTGCAAGGCGCTGGGAAAGGTCTTGTGCCCTTCGCTCCTGGAAGGAGTATTGGGCAGAGACCCGCCGGGTGCTGGAGGCCCCCGGCCCCTCGGCTCCAGGCAGGGCCAGCCCTGGGGCACAGCAGGTTGCTCAGGGCCGGCGCGGGCAGCTCCGCGCGCCGCTCTCCTGCGCTCGGCCCGGCTAACCCCTCGCGCACGGCCGCTGAGGCGATCGGCCTGCGCCCGCGCCCTCCAGACAAGCTCTAGCTTGGGGTCTTTGGAGGGGTGCGGAATGCCAGCAGGAAGGGCAGTAGCAGCTCTATTTCTTCCTCATTGATTTGATATTTCCGCAGGTTTGGTTTTTCTCTATAATATCCACAAAAATGAAGATAAAACACCCTGTTCTGGGCCAAAAAGATTTTTCCTTTGATCAAAGTTTGCCTTGTCTCACCCTTCTTCCCTTCCTGCTTCTTTTTATAGCAAAAGTTAAGGGAACAAAATTTATTTTGTTTTGATCCACATTGCTTGACATTTTTTCAGCACAAGACCATATCAAAGGAGAAAGAAAACAAGTTTTATCACAACATTCTGAAAACACAAGTATTTGTGGGTTCTACTGGTTCCAAATGTCTGCTGTATCACTCCCTCTTGTTTCTTTCAGAGTTCAAGATGCAAATCAATCGTGCTCTACCCGAAGGAAACAAACTGCTCTTGTGCCCTTCGCCAATTGAGTTATTGAGAAGACACAGCCCAAATTATGAGATTTGCAAGGGCTGCGCTAGACATCCCCAACCTATCTGCATGCGTGTCATCATTCTTGCTGGTGGGACTTAAAGAAAAGGTTACCTTCTTCCTCACTAAAGATTTGAAGACAAATATAATCAAAGCCCTTAGCTTAAGGGCAGCTCAGAGTGCAGCTGCTCACGCACCCTGCCGCACTGCCGCGCCGCCTCTGCTCTGCCCCGCACCTCGCTAGGGCCGACCCGCTCCTGCCGCGCCGGCTCCGCTCTGCCCCGCGCATCCCCTGGGCTGTACTGCTCTGGCTGTGCTCTGCCCCACACATTCCTAGGGCCGTCCCGTGCATCCCTAGGGCTGTCCCACACCCTGCAGCGCCAGCTCCACTCTGCCCCGCGCATCCCCCACCCCACCCTCCGCTCCTGCACAACCAGGCGCTTCCCAAGCGGCAACGACTCAGCTCCAGGTCCATAACCACAGTTACACTATGATACCAGAAGACTGTCAGGAAGAAGGAACTTTGCTAATTAAGAGTTATTATGGGTTCATCTCTCGAATATTTTTGTCAAAATATTATGATAAAAAATGCAATGATGTCAAAGATTAAAACAAAATGTATTAAAATGACATTTTGGACTTGTGTAACTGTTTACATTAAAACAAAAATAAGTTTAAAAGCTCCTAGCTAAAACATTTTCTCCCAGGATGAACTCACTTGTGCCAAGTGGTAACTTTTGGTTTCATTTGGGAGGAACTTAAAGGCAGAAAGGTAAAAATGTATCTGAGCTGATGTTTGGATGAACCTATCAACTAGGGCAATGATTTTCACTGCTCTAGGTAGCACAGGCCACCCTTGCTGGAAAGCAAACGCGGAGCAGTCTAGATGGAAGTACAGACTGAGGTTGGGAAGGGCAGAGCAGCCGCCGGGGCCGCTCCGGAGCCGCAGGGCCCCGGGCGCAGAACCGCGGCCACGTGCTGGCGAGCAGCCTGGCGGCAGGGCCGAGTCGCACCGCGGCGCCTCCAGCCAGCGAGCGCGCGACCCGGCCCTCGCGGCCTCGCCCCTGCAGCAGGCTGCTCTGCTCGTGCACCTGCTTAGATTCCTTCGGGAATTAAGGAAAGGGCTTCCAGAGCACCCGAGCAGCCTGCAGAGCATTTGTGTCCTGGACTGCAAGATGTGCCTGGAGTTGAGAGAATGGGCGAGGGAACCGCAACAAAGTGGTTAAAAATGGCGAAAACCAGAACAAAGCACGCTTTCTCCTGCTCTAAATCACAGCCTAGAGTTTCTTGACACAGTGATGCTTAAAAAAGACAAAAAAAAAAGATAGTAGATGCTGAAGTGAGGGAAAAGATGAGGCCTTAGGCCAGAGGGTTTGGGTGGAAGCAAGAGGAAAGTGTTTCAGAATTTCCAGGACAATTTTTCTCACCAGCTGAATTATCTGATTTCATTTAGGGCTGCTAGGGATTAAAGCCTTCAAAATCTATCCCACAGACGCCCCTGTTGCGTTTAAAATACCCTCACATTTCTTGCTTCCTGTCCTTCGTTTGTGATTTGGAGCTTTACACGCAGAGCTGCTTCGATGCAGACAGTGCTTCCCAGGAGGGACTTCTGCTCCAGAGCTGACTAATGCTGCCTGATAGCGCTGTTTGTTGATTGACATAGACAGATAATCAGAAGAAAAATACTATTTATAATATTGATTGCTGTATATTATTCTTAGGCATCAAATGCAGTCATTATTTTTAAATGGCAATAATGATATTTTTAGCAGAAGCACCTATTTTTTCTCCTTTAATTTCACAAACTTCACATTTATTCATAGCACTGAATTAATTAGCAACCTTTTTCTTCACATACGTGTTACTGCTTTTAGAGCAAAACACATCCAAGCGTTTCTGACAGCATGAGACCAGGTGGATGGAAAATGCAGTTACCAGTCTAGATGGACGGTGGACAACTAAACCAGGTTTGGCACTGATTTCTACCCTCTCACCGCCACAAGTGAGTCTTGCCTGTTGGCAGCCCTTTAGCTTTCTCGATAGCTTTCTCCAGGGCTGCTGTCCTACGGAGCAGGTCGCAGTCAAGCCTTCAGCCTTTGCAGGTGGCAGAAGTTACCTACATCTTCTCCGTGAGAGCTCTGTAGCCATGAGGGGCGCCCAGCTCGCAGCAGTGCACGGGTAGGCAAGGGAACGTGGGCCGTGGGGACCACCCGCTCCCCGCTCCCGAAGCTCCTTGGGGGCTGTAGAGATGCTGACGAGCTCCTCTCCAACGCCGGACAGAGCCGCTGAGAGTGGAGTGAGCCCAGGAGAAGTTCAGCACCTCTTCCCTTCTCCCTAGCAAAATACAGGTTCTCCATAGAGCTTGTGGAGGCTCCGGCTCTCCTGAGCTACCAGCAGGCGAGGGTCTAGGGCACAGAGGAACCAGCACAGCACTACCAACACAGCAACACAGCGGCGCTGCGCGAGCTCACCCTGGCACCCGCTAAAACGCAGCTCAGTGAATGGGGCTGCAGGGCATCGGCTATGGACAAGGGCAGCAGGGATTTCCTCTCCCCTCCTTCGGGAGGAGGAAAGATAGCTTTATGCTAAAGGGTTTTTCCCAGGTTCTTACAAGTCTTTTAGTGAGTGTCTCAGCGGAGCAGCAGAACTCACACCAGTTCTGTTATGATAAAAATCGTAACAAATGAAAAAGAGAACACGGGAATTATAATGAACCAGCATGGTAAAGTATTTTGGGAGCTTGGGATAGGAACACGTTCATTAACAAGTGGCACTGGCACCACCACTGCTTTTTTTAACAGCTCTTGACTAAATAAAACACAACTTTACTAGGCCTTACTAAAGCTAGTACAATTTCAAAGTGTTTCATACATTTGTCATGCTCCTAAACCTGTAGTCTATGTGACATATTCAAATCCATCATTTCTAATGTTGGAAATATCACATTTATAATTCCCCATATAATCACGAATCTGTTCCTTATGAAATTACTCTGTGATCTGCTTGAGTGAAATTCACTTTACCCAGTCTCCAAACAGACTAAATAGCATAAGCCATTTGGAAAATGATCAGTTATTCTGTCATGGTGCCACAAACGTCCAGAAGCACATAAGCAAGATAAGCAAAAACTGGAAAATTTTCCATTTTTCCATCTCAAAGGCATTTCTCAAAGAAAGAGAGACGGCATTGACCTAACACTGTTCACTGACAGTCAGAATGGAACAAATTCACACATTCTGCCTGTTGAACTTAAGATTTAACGTTAATGAGCTGAACTCCAGCAGGGAATTCTGGGGAATCACTGCCACGCATTGTCAAACATCGCTGTCACTTGGACCAGCATGTGGATTCCTCCTTGCATATTAATTAAATCTGCATTCTCTGCTACCTGTCATGATATCTGAGACATCTGAAAACCCGTGCTTCTCTTCTGAATGAAATGGGAAAAGATGACTTAAATACCAGTAATTTTCATATGTAGCAAAAACATTATTCTACATTAATTGCAAGGACAGTAATTACTTACAATCATCATTAGTGAGTTAAGGACAATGTTAACAAAATTAAGATACAGAGTTTATTTTCCCCTCAAGACTGGCATCCTTCTTTGGAAAGCAACTAATAGATGTACCTGGTGCCTTACACTGCAGTTGTGTTCTGTGGGTGTATTGGACTGTGAATCCCTTAAGAGAAGAAATATCTTTTATATCTACAATTTATCTGTATCCTACATTACTTTTTTAAAACCTTCAGTTACTACAGAAATTAACAGCGTCACTAATAGCAACAATAAATTCAGTGCATAGCGTCTCTAAATGTAAATGTCCTACCTAAATGTCTAACATATCCTGAGGCCCCCTCCACATTCCAGGGATTACATCCTTCCACACTAACTGCAGTTCTTTGCCATCAGCTAACAAGACTCTGCAGCTGGTGACCTGGCCATGGGCCCACCTCCCCGTGGTCCAACAAACCGTGACTTTGGACCTGGTCCAAACCTGGACCTGGACCGTGACTTTGCTGAGCTCTGACTGCAGCTCCCCCCTCGCGAAGGCCGGGCCGTGCGGGCAGCCGCTGCTCTGCAGGCTGCCGGGGCTGCACGCGCTGTGCGTGATGCTGAACACGTTCACACCACGCACACCTGAGGGCACGTCAGGCACTGCTGCTGCCCCGGAGCGTGAGCACTGCTCGTTGGTGGAAGAACATGTTTTGATTTCGTTTTATCCAAAAGGAATCCTGAATGGGCATCTGAGACCACACCGAGATGCAAACTGAAGTGACGCAGATGGAGATCATCAGATTTGCTTCAAAAGCACAATCCTCATCGAAACTAAACACACCCTTATAAACCATATCTAGAATTCATTTATCATAGAAACAGCTAGAGAGGTAATTCAAGAGCAATTTTATCAGTATATTTTAATGTTAAATTAGTTAAACTAAAATGTAGCAAGAATTTTTTGTAAGGGCCTCGGGGATTTTATAGTTAGGCTCATATTAGGAGTCAAGTGTGAGTCAGTAAATCTGTCGGCCACTTTGCAAAACTCTCCTTCTGGGCATAGGGTAAGTGCCTTGAAGTCAGTAACAGTTCTGACATTGACTCCGTGGGATCAGAAACAGGCCTTTTCTGTGTAATTTCTCTTTCAATTAAAAACAACGTTAATACAGAATTTGTTTCAGATTTACAGGCCATTGAAGTATAGTATGTGCCAGGAGCTCCTTACTCTCTCCTTTACTTGCAGCACGTGCTGGAGGATACACATCATATGCAACCAAGGGAGAGGGAAGGCAAAACTGAGCAGTCAGCAAAAAGATGAGAGATGTGTATCAAAAGCTAAGGTTGAGTCAATTAACTACAACTAGACTGATTTTCTCTGGGTTGAAACAGAATTCAGGATTGCCACAGACTGATGACAGGTCTAAACAGCATCTCGTATCACAGCAGTCTTGCAGAGCTAATTGCTCTCCAATTAACGTTAGACTACTTCAATCGGCATAAATCCTAGCTATGAATTATCATAAAATAAGTCTTAGGGGATATGCAGGGCCATTTTGTTAGCAGGTTTTAGACAAGATGAGACTTCCCAGATAAGTCTGGGCAAGTTCAGGAAAGTCACAGAGCCAGTTAGTCTCCATTTAACTCTGAATCAGAAACCGTTCCCACCAAAGAGCTAGGCCTCACATACGATCTGACCCTGGAACCAGCAAAAAGAGAAAATAACAATCCAGGAACGTTAGTTAAATGGATAGAAAATTCACATTCTGTATCTTAAACTGATTTCCATTCCCCACAGCTCTATGAAAAATAAAGTCTCCTCTTTGCATATGACCTTGGCAAGGTCAAAAAAGCACAGCACAGACAGAATAACTTGAAAAGTAAACATGAAGGAATATCCATTTGGCTTAAAACAAGCCAACACTCCATGACCTGTAGTTTACGCATGTGTTCTGGGAAACAAATATCCTCTGGATATTTTCTCATGTCTTTCTTAACTACTTTGCTTCAGCTACCACCCTGTTTGGATAGAATACTAAAAAGAGGGTCATATGCGAGACCACAGGAAACGGCACGTTGGGAATGCCTTGAGCCTGTCACTTGCTTCAGGATCATCACTGCTACTGAACTCTTAGGTGCTCCTGAAGAAAATGGTATGTAGGCATCCTATAGAACTCAGGTGTTTAGAAAAAACCTCCAATTATGTTACTCCCCATTAGAATAATTCCCACAGAACTATATTAAATTCCTATGATCCTTTTGTTTTTATATCTACATGATTTAGAAGTCGTGATTACAAGTGACAAAGGAAAACAGAGAATTACCGTTCCAAGTTAGACTGCAGATAGAATTTGCTAAGCATTCTGCCTCCAGTAAGAGCCAACCTTTGATACTCCAGAGATGAACAAGCTCTCCTGTTTTCCTTAGCATCCAGATAAATAGTATTTATTAGCCAGTTGTGCAGAAATAAGGTTAAAGGCAGCTTGAAGTGTTAACTATTATGTGGCTGCTTTTACCATTATATGTGAACAAATACTACTATTTGTCTTATTCAGTCCTATCTAACAACCACTACAGTTGGTGAAAATTTTGTGTTCAAATCCTAGCTTCAAAATAATTAGTTTATATAAAAATGTTGGAGCATTCTTTTGTTTATTGCTCCCTTGAATTGAAGCCTCTGTTGTTGATTATACATGAAGGGAATGTGGGAAGTCAACAAACTTAGAAGGCTTATCCACAGGTTAAGGTAGATGTTTTAATTGAGAGTATGAAAAAGAGGTCACCATTCATAGCCTTCCTCTGTTAGCACAAGTTTGCTCACACTATTTGATTGCCAGTGTGAACTATCTGCAATAAAGGGTAATATTCCAGAGATGTATTTTGAAAAAGTTAAGATTTATTCTTTTATTACACATAAATTGACAATGAACTTGGGAATTTTAAAGCTTCACAAGCTAGGAGGTGTTGACAACTGCCACCTTCAGGGTATATAGTAAGGAAAGGCTTTATAGACCCACTCTTGCATGAATATATTTAATGCTGGTGTTCCTTGAGACAATCAGTGGTCCTCAAGCACATTCTTAAAAGTCATCCTAAAATAGGATGCTATTTTTTTCAACCATGGCGCAGTGACAAAAGCATTTTCTTTTAGTCAAAGGTTTCCTTCATCCTCATACCAATTTCAGGTGCCTTTTATTCCAACACCACCACAATCTTTCTATCATTATATTTCTAGGTGAAGAAAGAGAAAACTATTCAGAAAACTGGTGGAGCCAACAAAAAATAAACATATATTCCACTGCCAAAATAAAGTATTAAGACAGCCCATATGCCAAACTTTTCTTTTCTGAGCATAATTTAAACATCATGCACTTTAAAATACAGAGAAAAGCAAAATCTTAGAATAGCTGGCATGTTAAAAATGCTATATAAAGACCAAGAACTGTGGCCCTAGAATGACAGCAATGAATAATGCTCTGGCCTATAAATTACTGTCGGACTGTACACAGGCTTCACCGAAAGCAACGCAGTGTGAGAAACGGCCAGCAAAAGCCAATCCGACTCCGGTGCAGTGTGTATGTCCTATAGACTCCATGCATTTTAAACAGCTTCAGTACAGAGGAAGGAACAGTAACTGAACGGAAAAGGAATCTTAATAAGTGACATTTAAAGGCATTAGGGGAGCAAGCAGCTGAAAAAAAAAAGCACTTTTTTTTTTAATCTAACAGATTAAACAGCAAAGAACAGGAAACACTTCTCAAGCAACACAGCATATGCATCAGAGTTCACAAAATAGGAAATATCCAAATCAATTATTCGGTGAGCACAGAAACCAGATGACTTTGCTACAGTAATTTATCATAAATGGTATTATCCTGAGACAGCAACATTCACAGTTGTGGAGGGGATTTATCTACAATTAAGGCTCTGACATTTCAGCTTGATCACATATGATGGAGACTACCAGGATCCGGGCTGAATAAATGTAGCAAAAATGTGCAGCCCATTTAACCAATGGAATGCAGAGACATTTTCTTGGAAGGGCTTGCATGCATCCTAAAGCACAGCTGTGGTAAAATCAGAGCTGTGCTTATTAACCACAGCAGGGAGAAACGAGATATTAAGGGGGGATATTTCAAATATAGCATGCCAAACAGGGCATCTGAAAATGCAGTAAACAAAATCTATATATAGTATATATCACTCACATGTAACTAATATATATATATATTTATATACACACAACACACATTTGTTATATACATATTTATGTATGAATAAACATGTATAGGAACTAACCTTACAGGCATGCTCCATCATGATGCACCCTGCTTTTCTGCTTTACCTGAGGACAGCACCATTCCTTGCATGCAGTGCACTTCATTTTAAAACCTGCAGACTATTCCTAGCAGACAGATTGAAAAGGATTTTTATGATTCACACTGCAAAAAGCTAAAAAAAATCCATCCCTGCTGTATAAGGCTGTATTTTCCATCTCTGTCCTCTGAATAGTGGAACCAGATGAGAAATGATTCATCAGTCCAGGGAAGCATTTAGAGGAAAGAGAAAAATAAAAAATAAAAAAAGAATCAATCGTACAGTAAAATCTGCTCACCACGTACACAGCCCTAAAGTGCAGAATCAGAGCAGCCTACGGGAGGAGAAGCTAGAGCCGGCGCCAGGCGAGCGCTGCAGCCTGCGTGACGGCCTGCGCGCGGCTCCCTCCCGGGAGGATGAGCTCACTGCGCCGGGGCAG